TACTACTACTGATAATAATAATAATAATAATAATAATAATACTAATAATACTGCTAATACTGCTAATAATAATACTAATAATACTGCTAATAATACTGCTAATAATACTAATAAAATAATTAAAGTAATTATAATAATAATAATAATAATAATAATACCAATACTACTACTAATAATGATAATAATACCAATACTAATACTACTACTACTACTACTACTACTAATAATAATAATAATAATAATAAAAACAAATAATAATAAAAATAAATAATGATAATAACCGGCTTTATGTATATCCATTCAATATGTATTTCTTTGCACTATTTCTATTTGTTTACAATTGACAGAAACACTTACATTGTATGATGTTGGTCATTGTTGCTTTTTATATACACACAACTATTTCTTTACCTTTACTTGTATGTATATAATAGTTCTATATATGTTTTTACTTACGTCTGTTCAGCTTTGTTTTTCCTTGTTTTTAATGTCTATTTCTAACTCAGTTTCTACTTAAACAGCGTGTTACATTGAGATCAGTCAAATTTTCTTGTAATCACACTTGGCCAATAAAAGTGATTCTGAGTCTGATTATTAATTATGAGTTTAACTGCTGAACACGAGACATCTCCCGCTTCAGTGAAAAGTCTGTTCTCAATGTATGCACACTGAAAGTTACAAGTTTTTATATCACACAAGTCAAAACAGTCTTCTAATGTCAAACTCTGTCACACATTCATCATTCTACTACAACATCCAAGTAAAGTAATAAGCAAAACACATTTCTGAGAGTGAATGCACATGCAAATCATTAAATAATAAATATCCATAACAAAAAGCCAAATATCAGATAGCAAATAACCAAAGGCGCTCATTATAATCTGTGTATAATATATACAGTGGTAGAATAATAGTCCACACATTAAATACAGCTTCATACTTTGTTTAATTTGAAGATGTAGGTCAGAATCTCACCACTAGATGTCACAATTTCCTAATTTCCTACGGTCTTTCTTCACTGAATGCAGCATTTGTTATTTGATGTGTGTGATGCTGTGCGCCTGTGAGCCAAATCTGAGGAACTAATCACAAAGTACAGCTGGGAATGTCATTATTTTCAAGTATTTGCTCATAAATAATACTTAAAAACTAATAAAAAAGGATAAAGTTTGGTGCCTTGATGAAGTAATTATATTACAACCCACCCTGGGAATGTGTGACCCACATATGATGGCAGTCCATCCAGTTGTTGTGGAGACACTCAAAACAACAAATGTGAACCTCATGGAGGCGCTAGAGGAAGAGCCAGAAGATCATTAAAAGTCTTTAGGATTTCTTGTCTGTGAACCATGAACGTGTGAACAAAATAGTTTGTACTTCACAAGGTAAGTGAACATTTTAAACCTGCTGGGTCACTAAAGGCAGCAGGGTTCATGCTGTAGGTAACAGGAGTATCTGTGCAAAACTGAACCCCTGGTTGATCTGATAGTTACCAAAGTGGACCTCAATGACTCAAACTCAATGAAATCAGTCATCAGGTCAAATTCCAACTGATTAAATACTTTTGAAATACACAGAAACGTCTTATTGATATCATACAACCACAGAAGTGTCAGTGTCTCATTTGTCAGCTGAAACTGTGCCCTGTGTTTTATTGTTAGTTTGTTTTATGAACAGATACCAGTGTCCAGTGCATTACTAGTGATAATATTACTTTCCCCAGTAATTAATAATGTAACTAACTACTAGTACATTTCAGTAATAATATCGGTAACAACCTCACTTTTGTTGTCACCCCTCTACTGATTTGAAATCCAATCACATCCTAGCAAGATGAAAGCTCTTACATTCAGCAGCTGGAAATATTCGCATTACTTTGATTTTAACAAACAAAACTGGATTTTAATCTTCGTAAATCTGAATTTTGTGGAGAAAGGACAGTTACAAATGTTGTGGGGAGTAGTAATATAGTAATATAACTTGTACTTGAGTAATAAGTAACTAATTACTGTAGGGAGTAATGTGTAAAGTAATAATATTTTTTAAAAGAGTAATTAGTAATAAATAAATAAAAATAAGATGTAATTAAAAGGGAAAGGAAGATATTTTTAATGTGGGCAAAGCATTATTGGATCAGGCACTAAATATTGTTAAAAAAAAATCCTTCTCCCAGGCAGAAATAAGCTGTGAAATGTATCAGGTGTTAAAACAAGCTGACAGGGAGGCCAAAATATCCCCCATAAAGCGGGCTGTGGTTCATGGTAAGAGGATGTGTGAGGGTCTGACTGTCTGTCAGGCACTTAAAAAGGGGTTTTGATCATAGGAAAATAGGCTCAGATAGAATTACTTAGACAGCGTACAAATCCTCTCCTGGAGACTACCTACTGTTAATGTGTAAAGAATACTACAATGTGAAACTCTATCCCCAAAAAAAGTCTCAATTTCATATTAAGGAATAATTAAAAAAAGTAAAAACATGAGAAATTAGTCTTTTTTTCCCCCGCAGTTTTGGTCGGTCTGATTTATTCCAAGATCCCTGTATTACAGCAGTATCTTCAGGTTCAACAAACATTCAATGTTTAGTGGTAGATCATTCAGATGTCAATCAAACATTATTCATTATTCCTGCCAGGACTTCCATACCACAAATAAAGCTGACAGAAAAACTATTTTACTTGAATTCCATGTTATAATTGTATCGTATGTCCTAAAAATCAGAAGCAGTAAAATATCATCCACAAACCATTCACAGTGATAGTGCAACGCATCATAAAACAAGTTTAAAAAAATCTCATTCAAATAAAAACATCACAAAAGTGTTAGTGTGTTGATAAAACAATAACGTCAACTCCACGTCAGATTGATTCCTAAGCAGTGCAAAGACAAGCTCCGTCTTCTCAGGCTTTCCCACACGGAAGAAGAAGAAGCACTTTGATGCGAGGCTCTTGTGCAGAAAAGCTTTGTTTAGTTGTTGAAACGACACGCTGAGTCCATGGCGAGCTGAATGCTGCAGAGTGAAACGACAGAATACAACTGGCTTCAGTATCAAATAACAAAATATAACTTTTATTATTAAATGATTAACTGTCACAGGGGACAGTGCCGTGGAGTTTAACTGGGACTATACTGATACAGTGTGCAACGTCTGAACTAGCGTATACAGTTCCAGTAAACAGTGAAATACTCTTTACAGTTTGTATAATCTGCGAGGAATTAGTTTTATTTGTTAAGATAATATTAAATAATGTGTCTGAGAGCTGCTGAACTTAAAACAATGTAATTATTTTGAGTTTAATACAAAGCTTTTTGATTATTTAATGGTCTAAATACAATTTTAGAGGCTTTGCGACTATCAGTAAGATTCTGAGTAAAACTTTATATTTGTCATACAAGTGTCTTCACTAGGTTTTGGTTTTGTACTGTATATATTTAGCTTTGTAGTTCAGATTTTATGGGGTTATTTTTGTCACCATCTATCTGTAACTGTGCCTTCCTCTTTTGTTTTGTATAGATGTTCTCCTTAATAGTTTATTCATTAAGCAGCTGTTTAGTGCTTCTGTTACATACTATTTCTAGCTGCGGATTAATATGCACTAGTGGGTATTTCTCATAGCAAGATGGTGTATAGTTGTTCATTGGGTATAATGGTTTATTTATCCATGTTTGTTATAATAAAGGAATATGTCACCCAGTACAAAAGTGTCGCTCACTAGATATATCAGACTTTAAATATACAGACAGAACTTGTTTGTGGGATCCAATCACTGTTGGTTTTGATCTTTTTATGGGATTTATTATCAATAAGAATAATACCAGACTCACCTTTTAGGGACATTTTACTTAAACCAACTTAAAACTGTAGATAGCTTCAATAGATCAAACCAAATATATAAAAGACTGAAGTCATGAGAAACTGAAAGTAGAGACACATAATACTACTTCTTACCTCCTACAATTACCAGTAAATAAGAATCATAAAACTACAAAGACAACAGAAATGGGAAGACATAAAAACAAATGTGGTTTATATAGTGGGAAGTAGACCGTACCTCTCTGCAGTGTATCCTCTCTCACACAGGTTCACCAGAGCGTACAGATGTCTCAGAGCATATTCATACTGAAACACAAGAGGATATCACATGTGTCAGAAATGTCCCCACACTCCCCACATGACCAAAGTTTGTTTCCCCACTGCTGTATTTGTGGAGCCCGAAATGTCAAACACTTCCAGAGAAAAGGGATTTTTT